CTTTTGACGCCTTCCCTTTACTCCATAATGACGCCTTTTGACGCCTCTGTTAACAACCTCAGTTGAAACGCTTTGTCCTCGAGTAATCCGTGTCAAAATTTATCAAATTTGTATCCAAAATAAGAAGTATAAACTTGAGAATAACTGGTGTAAATGTAGTGACCAGGCAATTTTATAGAGTAAAACTAGTATTTCCACATCTGGGTATTTGCTACAAATTTATATACATGTATAAAAGGGATTATTTGATTTAAGAAACTAACCTTTTGGACTATTGCTTCTTTGTTTCAAGTGTATTTTATTAAATTTCTTCCCTACTTCCGTAGCATGTTGACCGGAAGTAGATGGACATGCGGCATTTTCTATTCATATAATTTACTGGTCAACTTTAGCCAATATTGTCCTTCGGTTCAAAGTTAATTCGAAGATCTCGGCATTTATCTCCTCACTTACGCAATAAACTTGTTGTTTTTCACGGTGTTTGCTTCCATTGTTTCAATAAGTATAAATACTGGAGTGTTTGCTACATCTAGGAGTTGCTGCATTGAGCCGGTTTGCATCAAGCCACCCTCAAACCCTCCAGACTGTATCAGTCTACTTGGGCCGAACACATTTTTGTGTAAAACACTCCAGTGTCCTTGACCTTTAAGGTGGTACCTAACACTACAGGGAGATAACTCTGTAAAAATCAGCTAAACGTTTTAATTACGTTGTATTGTTAAGGAAATATTAAGCTTCTCAATGATCAAAATTAGTGTTTGTCAAACTGCTATATAACCAATGAAATTTTTCTGATAAAGTGGTTGGTTCAAATTTTTTGAAATTTTTATATTTTTGTCAAAGGGTCAAAGTAAACATTTTGTCAAAATTTTATGAAAATTAAACGAGCCAAATTAATATTAGTCAAGGTGTTGGGTACCACCTTAAGGTATGTAGTTATTGTAAAAATTTGTTAGATAAATGTGAGGGACCGTCTCAAGAGACATAGATGTTACTTTGCCGGCGCTAATTTAAAATAAGGTCCGTTTAACATAGAAAACCAGTAGTTACTATTGATTTAAGGATAAGTTGGGTGGAATTATATTCATAAAGGCAATTTATGAATAAATAAAGTTTAAAATATTTAATAGCTCCTTTTTAAGAAGGCTATTAGTCAGAACAGTTATCTGTTGTATTTTTTGTTACTTTACTATTGTTGAATTTATATGCAATTTATTGAACTTTACTAATGGTATAATAAATATTATATTGGGAAAATTCTTGTTTAGTTAAATTTGTGAAACACTGAAACGCAAGACCTATATAGATAGAATGTATCCTGCTGATCGAACCTAAGCGAAGTACTACCACTACATGTCCCATGAGGCCAATATTATGGCATTGTTGAATTGTCGTTGACCCCTCCTGCTACAAATGGTGCCGTGACCAGGATACATTTCTTGTCTGTATTAGTTTTGTTTCAAAAAAAATTTCTCAGAAATATATTTTTTTTGTTGAAGTAATTTAATTTAGTTAAATATTTCCTTTAGTATGTCTGATAGGGAAAATAGTCCTTTTCCTTTAAGAGGAAATTTAGAAAGGGGATATGAGAGTCTGATTCTGAAGGGAGTACCTTTCACCCTCGTTTTAGTATGTCAAGTCGTTATGAGATCTCAGACCCTCCTTCCTATGAAAGGGAGGCTAGTCCTAAAGTTACTATAGTCACAGAGTCTATGAGTAAAGAATGGAAACCAAGAATTATGAAAGAAATAAAGTTTCATGGGGAGGAAGGGAATTTTATGTCTGTTAAAGAACCCGTTAAACAAGTTAGTTTTTCAGATGAGTGTTTCCCTTTATTGAACTTACCTAGTCCTAAAAGAGAAAAATATTCTTTTGATAGAGAAAGACCCTTTGTAACGGAAAGAGTAAATGAGAAATTCTCTTCAAATAAGAATGAAATTAGTACTCAAACCAGCATATCACCAGAGCAGTATGGATCTATTGAAAGTGCTTTTGTCAGAAAAGAGAACATGTTTTCATCTACTCCATATGATTACCAAATGGCTTCCAATTAACCTAAAGTACAAACTAAAATTGCTCAGCCTATTGTTACATCAAGTATTACTCCAAGTGTTTTTGATAAGATGTATACTAGTAGCATAAATGTTCCCCAAGCAATGCCCAGTGCAATACAGAAAAATGATCAAAGGGAGATAAGCAGAGCTTTATCTAATCTAGACATGTTTGGAAGTATAAATAATCAAATATATAGTTCTGCAGTGGGTCTAAAACCTTCAGAACCTCAGTCTAGACATGATATTTATCCCAATGTGCAAGGGACCTTTTCTTATATGCCTACATATGATTCACAAGTTGTTCCTTCAAACTTTAGTGAGAGAAGGGGGATAACTCAGGAATCATTTCCTGGAGTTATGCAATATGGTCAAACATATCCAAGGAATGATACATTGTTACCATGTCAGAGTGTTTTTACACCACAGTTGCCACCGGCGGGTGGCGGCCCTTATAGTTCACTTGATATGGGGGTACCTTACTACTCTCATGTACCAATATCGAGTGCTAATGCACCTGTCTCAAGTGTGAATATGGGACCTGCTTTCATCAATCAGAATCAATCTATTCTGAATCCTTATACTCCTAATATCATGAATATGTCAATGGTTAATACCTTGCCAAGACAACCCCAACCCATGAATTTTATGCAACCGCAAAGACCTATGGAAAATATAGGACCAAATATTAACCCCCATGAATATGGAGTTCATCAAAATATGATGGCCTCCCAATTTTATCCAAATATGATGGGTCCAATGCAAAATAACCCTCCACGGGTGAGCAGAAAACAAAAGGAGCCAGACACCTTTGATGGTAGAAATACTGACTGGGTAGACTATATAATACAGTTTGAAAAAGTAGCTAGTTGGAATGGTTGGGACCAATATGAAAGTGCTCAGCTATTAGTTATGAGTTTAAGGGGAGTAGCTCAAAGAACTGTTGGTGAACTGAACCCATACCAATTGAATGATTATGCTTTCTTGAAACATATGCTGAGTCAACGGTTTAACCCCTTAGAACGAGAAACCGCACACAAATATGAATTTAAAAATCGTAAAAAAAGGAAAGATGAGTCTGTATCTGATTATGGACATGCCTTGCGCCGATTAGCATCCCAAGCATTTCCTAAATGGGATCCTATTTCTATTGAGGGAACAGTCATTGATCAATTTATTGAGGGTATAGGGAATAATCATTTCAAGACATACATTCAATTATTGAGTAAGCCAAAGACTTTAGAACAAGCAATTTCTTTTGCCATAGAATATGAGGCTGTAGAGGGACCTGTTGATCAGATTAAAAAACCTTATTTTTCTGATGAAGTCACTTATCACACTTATGCAATTGATAAAGATGACTCTAAACTTCAATATGAACAAAGTCTAAACCTAAATGAACAGATAAAAAAAAAACCGTTAAGGAGGAATTAGGCATAAAAGAAAATCAAATTCTCCTAGAAAAGAAGAAACAAATAGCAAATTTAGATCTGGAAACAAAAATTTCAGAAAAAGAGCTGAAATTAAATGTGAATATTGTGGCAAGACTGGCCATATCAGCTCTAGATGTTTTAAACAAAAAGATGACGAAATGACCAAACTCAAAGACGAGATAGCCAGATTACAGGCTAAGGGGGAATATAATTGGCTGGTTCGAAGGCCCTCGAATCAGCCATTTCTTTGAAAGTGAGGCCTGAAAATGAAATTGACAATTTAAAAAGTAATCATGCAAATGATATTGATACTTCTAGAGCTGATAAATATCCTAGTCTTTATGTGCCTGTAGAAATTAATAAAATAAAAATAGATATGTTAATAGACACTGGTTCCCCAGTCACTATAATATCTGAAAATTTAATTAAAACAGTAGATTTAGGGACATCAGGTCTGTCCAGAGTTGAATCGACTCTATCTGCAGCTGATGGCAATGACATAAAAATTAAAGGACAAGCTGTATGTGAAATTAAAATAGGCAACAATAAATTTCAACATGAAATTATATTCACAAAACTAGGGAAATTAGAAGGTATTATAGGAATGGACTTTTTAAAATGTTATAAATGTGAAAACTTGTATGCTGAACAGCCTTCAGAAAATGACCAGCATTGGGAAGAGGTAAACACAATGTTATCATAAATATTGAGATTGGTGTATGTTTCATGTCTTATAATGAAACTGTCCTCCATCAATCTCAACTTTTTCTTTAAAATCTTCTATGGATATTCTAAAGACAGAGAGAGGGTTTGAGGGTTATGTTGATAATTTTTGAGGCAAGTGCTGGTTTTATAAGGGGTAAAATAATGTACACATATCCAAAACACGGGCTGATCAAGCCATTTATAAAAGGGGGGGTCCAACTATATGTCCCTATTCAAATGCATTGATTGTAAAAAAAAAAAGGGGAGTTCCAACCCCCATGGTATTCAACATGTTTAATGCCCGGGATTGGGCTGCATATTGATACATGTATTTAAGTCCCAAGTTTGGCACATCATCTTTTGAGCTTGGCTTACGGGACCTTCAGTTTTGAAATTTCTTTATATATTGAATACCAGGACAAACAAAGTTTATTTCAAATATTAAATACATAATAACTGGATTATTGAACGCACTCAATACCTAAATGCCACAGCTCTTTCTTGCAATAAACCTGAGTATTAATTCTAATTTAACAGATTACTACTGATGAAATCAAAGCATTCATTGGAATCAACATTTTGATTGGGGTGATGCAGTTGGCATCATACAGACTGTACTGGAGTTCAGATCCATTCTTAGGAAACACTGGTATAAGAAGTGTGATGACAGAAAACAGATTCTCAAAACTATATCAGTATATTCATGTCAATAACAATCAAACAGCAGTACCAAGGGACACTGAAGGTTTCGACAAACTACATAAAGTTAGACCAATCATCAACATGGTAGATCATACTTTCAAACACCATTACAAACCAAAACAGAATCAAACAGTGGATGAAGCAATGGTGAAATACAAGGGAAGATTTTCAATTAAACAGTACATGCCAGGTAATTTTATTATTTGTACACAATTGAATACAATCCTTATTCTTCTTTTACATTGGAGGTCTAAGTAAAATTGATAATGGGGAATGTGTCAAAGAGACAACAACCCGACCAAAGAGCAGAACATTTTTTTTTTTCTATCTGGTTGCATAAATTTCATTCCTTTATTTTCGACTTTTGAGTTTGAATATCCCTGTGGTATCTTTCCCCTCTCTTTCACTTGTAAATATATTGTCATTTGATTTTATTTCTGCTAATTTCAATATAAACAAACAATTGACATTCTAAGATGACTGTCGCCTTTTTCATTTGAAACATCTGCAAAATCATATTTTAGTTAGATCTCTCAACATTCTTGAAAACAAATATCAATTTTTGGCCTTTATAGCTGAATATGCGGTATAGTTTTGCTCATTATTGAAGGCAATCATCGGTGACCTATAGTTGTTAACATCTATGTCATTTGGTCCAAGGTGGAGAGTTGTCTCATTGGCAATTATACCACATCTTCTTATTTTAACATATTTTCTTTATAGACCTGAAGAAAAAATAGAAATAGAATGTGAAATGATAATTTTTTTTGTCAGGAAAACCAATCAAAAGAGGCATGAACGTTTGGATGCGGGCTGATTCAACATCTGGATACTGTCATCAATTCAATGTATACATGGGCAAGGACGATCCAAACAAAGGGCCTAAACTAGGGGAAAAAGTGGTGAAACTGCTATGCAAGGACCTCAAATGGAAAGGACACCATATATATATGGATAGGTAATTTCTTAATTACATTAAAATAGGAAAAACAATAATGAATCTAAAGTGTATATTAATTACACCTTGAATAATGCAAATTAACAGAATACTGACCATGAGTGTTGTACTGATGCCTACAATGAGATGTTGTGAACATTCGTCAAATGTCAAAAACAATTAATAAAATATGAGAAAACCTAGATAGTAAATAAACAAGGAGATAAACATGGGCTTAAAAAAAATACAAACAAAATTATGAATAGAACAGGGATTTGGGATAGAGGTTTTAAAACAAATTTTTAATCTCTTGTGTTATAGTTGATCGACCTGATTTTTGGAAAAGATAAATCATAGAAACACAAGTTATACTTTTTTCGTATTTATTTTCAGATACTTTACATCAGTACCATTGTTTAGATGTTTAGAAAGAAATGGCATTTATGGATGTGGTACAATAAAATGCACAGCAGTTGGTCTTTCAGAAGACACAACAGATCCCCCCAGGATGGCTCGAGGGGAGAGTATTGCCCGCCAGAATGGCAATCTGGTAGCAACTGTGTGGCAAGATAAGAAAAAAGTAAGTAAACAGAAAATAATATGTAGAAAAAATGAAAGGATATGGAGTAAATGTACATGGGACAAAATCGCACACAATACATTGAAAATTATCAATGAACAGGGCTTTTATTCCTGTTCTTCATCTTGACAGTTGATGTAGGGTCTTCAACAATGAACGAATCATTCATACCCTACAACAGGGTCAAGACGGCCCCTAGCGTCGACTTAAGCGGTACTATTGATGTAAATGTTTTAGTGACATATGAGGAAAATTTATCAATAAAATGATTTAAATAAAATAAGAATTCATTTAAATCTTACTTATTTTACAGATCATACTAATGGGTCTTTAGTTTCATATCTATTTGTGAAACAGGAAAATGAACCTAAAAAAAACTTTTTGACAGATAAGATTAAAAAAATGACATATTTATTTACAGGATTTGTTGCTCATTTAAAAATGAAGAACAGCAATTAAGAATTGTTTTCAAGTTACTTGGTCTGTTATTGTACTTTATTGATGCTATTCTGAACAATTAACAAACTTCTTTTCAGGTGCATTTCCTGTCAACCAACTATAATCCAACAGGTGAAGGCTCAACCTTTAGAAGACTGAAAAATGGCACTAGGATTGAAATAAACAGATCACCCCCTGTTGAAGGTTATCACAATTACATGGGAGGTGTAGACAGAAACAATCAGCTCCGTGCTAAAACACCTGTAGGCAGACCAGCAAAGAAATGGTGGAAATATTTGTTTTTTTACATTATTAACTTATGCATTACTAATGCGTTCACTGTTATGAATGAATCTGTTGGTTATCAACCAAGGAAGAAGCGCTATTCCTTGTTGGATTTTCGCATCGACATTGCCAAGCAACTGATTGGGAATTTCACCAAAAGGAACAGGAGAATCGTTAATCAACAACCTAACAATAACCATGTGAGTGTTCGTTTGAACAGGACAAAAAGAAGATGCAAATGGTGCACCAAGCAGGGAGAAAAGAAACGAAAAGAAACTGTATATGGCTGCTCGAACTGTAACATTCATTTATGCAGAGAATCCTGCTTTGAACACTATCATCAGCAACATGGACTGCCATTTTCCATTTGACTTTGAACAGTAAAATATTGGATTAAAAAACAAATTTATATTGAATTCATTTATTCTATTGTGCTATTTCATGGCAGTCAAATTTAATTGGTGGAGTAAGCCAGAGTGCCAAAAGAGAACCACCAGAAATACTGACAATCCTAGTCAATTAAGATTGGAGTCGAGCGTACCTGCCTCCTGCCTGATTTAAACTCACAACCTCAGTGTTGATAAGCTAGTGTTACAGATGTTCAACTACTTAGACCACTAAGCCACTGTTGCCCTTTTTTTTGTAGAAGCTTATTTTTTAAAGACATCATTTGGTTGCAAGAAGTAAAGTTTTTCCAGTAAATGAAATGATACATTTTTTTAAAAATGGTTTTTTTATGGACTGTTGTTCAATTTGCATATTATAAAGAAAATTTCCTATGGTTGCTCTGGATGGAAACTGTTGCTATGGAAACTGTTGCTATGGAAACTGTTGCTATGGAAACTGTTGCTATGGAAACATATGATAAAACATCCCTTTATGTTTCCTATTCACATAATATAAGAGTCAACAAACATGAAATTTTCTAATTTTTTTTTTAATTTCATCACAATTTACTTTGTTGGTAGGGAAATAAATCTGTTGCTATGGAAAAAAATTGGGACGTTTTCACATAAAAAAAGGGTTAACACTCAGCTTATTCATAGACAGTCAAACATATCATGGTTTCCATAAGATGTAACTGCTGTTACAAGTGGCTACCCTAATTTTAGCGTATTTTCGTATTTATATCTATAAAATTGTTACCATGGCAACAAAATATATGAAAAAAAATTACCAGAAAATAAATTTCTTACTTTGATATATAACTGACCAAAATTATATATATTTAACTGGTCTATTAAAGGCACAGTCAATATTTCATTAAAGTAAGCTTATTTTCAACATTTTATTGAAAAATCCTATGCGAAACAGGTGTGTAAAAAAAAAAATTTTCATGGAGGAAAGGGTTAAAAATATCATAAAAATGTTTTGTTTTTTTGAAGAAAACAAATCTCTGTTCTTTAGATTAAATTTTGAAACACTCGGACTGTAGTGTATTCTTTGTCTAGATTGTATGATCTAACGTATTCGTCAAATTCAGATTTAAAGAGAATGAATACATTAGTAGATTTGGTGCGAAGCTTTAGATGGAATGGCGGACAAGTTTATTATTTTCACTGAACACTTTTTTACCTCTGCACTGAAGAGTTCGAAATAGACCAAAGGGAGATCATTCGTTTAGTAAGGAATATTGCACAATGATAATATTTTAGAAATTAATTTCACACATTCCAGGTGGATTCCCCATATTTTTTTTTGGATTTTTGATAAAAAGAAGACTAAAATTGATTGTTCTTGTGTTTCCTTTTAATAAATGCAGCCTCATAAGTTCACAGCACTACACCAAATATTGTATTTTTTTCAAAAATCCCAACTTTCTCCCCTGTTACCATGGTTACCAACCAATATATATATATCGGTTGGTATTTTTTTTCTAACTTGGCTATTAGGATTTTCATTTAAGCCCATTTTCAGAGAGATCAGTGACTATGTGTGCCAAAAAAGTTTTAAGTGGTTACAGAGGATGGGTGATTAAAATCACGTTCTTTTGTTAAGGAAATATTAAGCTTCCCAATGATCAAAATTAGTGTTTGTCAAACTGCTATATATCCAATGAAATTTTTCCAATAAAGTGTGTGGTTCAAGTTTTTTGAAATTTTTATATTTTTTTTCAAAGGGTCAAAGTAAATATTTTGTCAAAATTTTATGAAAATTAAACGAGCCAAATTATTTTTTATGGAACGCCACAGCTGTCTTTACTCTCATGTGGTACTCTGATATTTCGTTATGTTGTTTTATTATTACTTGATGATATTTTGTCTTTACATGATATGGTTTTGACATTACGTAATGATGTTTTGATATAACTCAATATGGAATAGTCATTACTTAATGATATTTCGATTTTACGTGATATGGTTTTTTCATTACTTAATATGGTTTTGTCATAACTCGATGTGATTTCATCATTATTTAATGTGGTTGTGTCATTAAACAATGTAGTTTTAACATTACTTGATGTGTATGTGGCTTAACGTTAATTAAGTATTTGTTTCACTACATGATGTGGTTTTGTTATTTCATAATGATGATTTGCTAATTCTTCATATGCCTTTAAAATTACATAATGATAATTCAAAATTTGACGATTTTACACAACATGGTGTGTTTGTTCCTGTTTTTGATGTGATCCTGTGGTTACCACATTACTTGATGAGGTAAAGCCACGTGACCATTATGGAAAAAAATACTTCTTTTTTTAGACCGATTTCCATATGTCGTTTGTTTAATGTGCTTCGGATGAGTGTCGCTATCCATTGAGTTAAAGTTCAAATCAAAGTTCGAGTTGTTGTTCAGAGTTATTTGGTATGAAAAAGGGGAACGGCAGACAAAAATTAGGAAAAAAAGTACAAGAAAGATATCAATATTTCGGACATAAGGGGGATATCCCCAAACCACTTGTTCCTGTCGTTTTTTCCCTTAGTTCTCAAATGGAAGCAGTATTACAATAAATTCGTGAAGAATTCCACGGAACCCTGTGTCTCGCCTGAGATTGCTGCTCACATTGTAAAAGTGTAATGTTGACTGTAAAACGCCCATTTATCGGTAATAATACAAAATTTAAAAAAAATGTTTTCTGTACATGCTTTATCTCGATATAGAAGATTAACTCCTGAGTCCTATACAAGTTTTATAACAATTCATGGAGGTTTACAAATTTATCATGACAAAATAGTTTAATTTGGTAATAAAAATAAGAAGATGTGTTATGATTACCAACGAGACAACTCTCCACCACATACCAAATGATGTAGCAGTTAACAACTATATGTCACTGTATGGTCTTCAACAATGAGCAAAAACCCATACCGCATAGTAAGCTATAACAGGTCCAGAAATGACAAATGTAAAAACAATTCAAACGAGTAACCTAACGATCTAAATGACGAAGACACCGACAACGGAATATATGTTTGTTGTGTTTAACTTCCGCGACATTAATATCGCAGGCTGGACACACATCAAATGATTTGTACTTTATTGTCAACAAATGAGACACTTTAAATCAACTCACACTAAAGTTACAAGGAAATGGGGGGATCGGACTAAGCGACAAAGCATCACTTCTATAAAATAAGAATTCTCCGTTTTTTTTAGCGTGTATTATCATTTGAACATATACGAATATCAATCTTTTAATAGATATTTTTATAAATTCCATTCTCTGATATACCTCGCACAAAATTTAAAAAAAAAACAGAACTTTTTGGAATGTCTGTTTCACATGTGACGAAGGATATGTTCCAGTTGTCTTAACCACAACCCCGTCCTCTTTTCCTCGAATGTGACGTACCGAATTAGACCAAATCACTGGGTTTGTACTTTCACGAATAACACGACGGGTGCCACACGCTGAGCAGGATCTGCTTACTCTTCTGGAGCACCCGAGATCACCCCAGGATTTTGATTGATTTATATTGCCCAGTCATACCGATCTATAGTTTTAAGCTAATTGCATCTGATTTTTACAGTTTATTCTTGTGTTGTGCTGTTTCACTATTCACCCATGGTAGGGTTAGGGTTTAGCGCTCACAGACATGTTTAACTGCCACGTGCACATTCTTTATGTGCCTGTCCAAAGTCAGGAGCCTGTAATTCAATGGTTGTCGTTGTTTCATGTGTGTCATATTTGTTTTTCGTAAGTTGTTTAATTATTAGTTACGGGTGCCTATAATTGCTCAAATCCACTACATTAAAACTCTGGTGGATAGTTGTCTCATTTGCAATCACACCACATCTAACTTTATTTCGTTTTTTATGTGGTGTTTTGTATACTGTAACATTGTTTATTTTTTGTACGCATACCCCTTATCCTTTTTTCGTAAGCCCGAGCAAAAACCCTTGATCCGCGATAGAAATTTAAATACGAACTCATATTAGATAACTCCAATTTCAACTCGAAATCTTTATCTAAATGAGACTCAAATTCGAAGTCTAACTCGAACTCTACCTCAAAAAGTAACTCAAACCCGAAGTTCATCTCGAAACTCAATGCTAACCCAAACTTTAGTTATAATTATGAATCGAAGACTAACTCGAAGTTTAATTCGAACAGTAACCCGAACTTTAGTTTGAACTTTAATTTGAAATCTAACTCGATGGATTGCCACACTCATCCTAGGCAAATAAAACATGGAAATCGGTTTTAAAAATAGAACTAGTTTTTCCCAAATAGTCACGTGGTTTTACCTCATCAAGTAATGTGATAACCACATCAAAGAATGACAGGACCACATCAAATACTGGAACGAACACATCATGTAGTGTAAAATCGTCAAATTTTGAAACATCATTATGTAATTTTAAAGCCATATAAGGAATTGGCAAATCATCATTACGAAATAACAAAACCACATCATGTAATAAAACAACTACATTACGTTAAGCCACATCCACATCAAGTAATGTTAAAACCCCATTGCCTAATAACATAACCACATTAAATAATGATGAAACCACATCGAGTAATGACAAAACTATATCAAGTCCATACGAAACCATATCATGTAATATCGAAATATCATTAAGTAATGACTATTCCATATTTAGTAATATCAGAACATCATTACGTAATGTCAAAACCATATTATGTAAAGACAAAATATCATCAAGTAATAATAATAATACATAATGTAATATCAGAGTACCACATGAGACAGCTGTGGCGTTCCATAAATTTTAGTCAAGGTGTATACCACCTTAAATAAAAAACAAAGTTTAACTTGGTCGTCGTATATACTCGGGGGAGTATGAATTAATATTAAGTCTGATAGTTTCTAATTTAATTTATTTTTTTTAATTTCAGAATGCAGAGCAGGCTGGAGGCCGATGCGTTCTGAACAGAACAAATTTTGTTATTATTTTTCTGCGGATAGTAAAACCCAAAGTGAGGCCAGGGTGAGTATATGTGAATTAAAGTGAACATTGTGACAAGTTATATTTTCAGTTCAATTTGATCTGATTTTTTCAGTTCAATTTGATCTGATTAAAATTCTTATAAAAAATAAATCAGATTTATAAGATGTTCTCGCCAGAAAGTAATTTTCTCATCTGATAGTGTCACCATTTCCTACCAGAAATACATGTCGTGAAAACGTAAAATATATCCACATCCAGGCATCCTTGCAAAAGACTATTTACGGCTTTGAAGTTGTTACATTGAATTTCATTGAAATCATATACGTTAGGGCTAATAGGAGCATATTAAATCCACTGAGAAATGTTCCTATACGTCAGTGCTAACAGGAGCATATCAAATCCACTGAAAAATTATTCTATTACATACCATACGAAAAAGCAAATAGAACATTGTCATAAAGAAAGGAAAATTAACAAAAGGAAAAGAAAAATAGTCTCCAAGTAATTAATTGATAGTGACAAGTTCTACTTATATCCAGGTTAAATCTGTTAAAAACACACGGATCTCTTTTGATGTATTTAGACATATGGTATAAATTCAGATGGATAATTTGTATAATGTTTTGAAAAAATTTACTAAAAACATATCAAACTTTAAATTAAAACACCTTCGTATTCTTTTTAACAAATACAGACGATTCACTACTAATAAGCGAAATAAATGTGCAAACAAATCATTCATCTCATGAAGATTAGGGCCTCATTTTGGTCCCCAATATCAAGTTCATTATTTCATTAAGAGATGTGATATAAAAGTGAAATAGAACAATGTTGTCTATTGAAACGTTGACATTTATAGCCAAAAGAGGCCAAAAAAGAGAGATTTGGGTGAAACTTCATTGTTAAAATCGTACGGATTTCAACCAAATTTGGGCATAGGAAAGATAAGTGCAGGCTTCCTCACACCAAATATTCAAGTTAAATATGTTATTTGTTATAAAATCAAATCATTACAAGATCTTTGTCAACGGATGCTATGTATTTTTCCAGTACTGAAACCAGTGGAAATTGGCCTGGTTTTTTAATAAGTGGAAAATTGATGTCAATTCTAATGTGACATCATAAAAATAACGCTGATGCATACATTCAATAAAATACATTTTTTCAAGCTTGACATTGTTTTGATTATGATGTGGTTTAAAATGATAATAGCTATTAAATTCATATTTGAAATTTTAGCTGAAATAAGGGTCATATTTGGTACTTATCAAAACACCTCTTTAACGTTCTTATTAAGACCGGAACAGTCTTCGCGCTCAACCATAGGCTCACCAGCCGAGGCTTGTAAAAATGCTATCAGGCCTGTAAAAATCATCTCTACAGGCCAATAGAATCTCATTCTTCGCGCTCAACCACAAGCTCACCTGCCGAAGCCTGTAAAAATGCTGTCAGGCGTTAAAAATCATCTCTACAGGCCAATAGATATTAGAATCTCAGTCTTCGCGCTCAACCACAGGCCCACCAGCCGAGGCTTATAAAAAAAGCTGTCAGGCCTGTTAAAATAATCTCTACAGGCCAATAGATGATGATGATGGATGACTGTTTAATGTCCAGCGGCAAATTATTATGCATATTCAGGACGAGAACATATTAATGAAATATGAAATTAGGCCCTGCTTTGTACTAGACCGACACGCTGAGCCGGATTTTTAACGTGCTAGTTCACAAGGTAACAGTCCGCAGGAAGACATGTCACCTTAACCGGACACATTATTCTGACTCCGAGCTAACCAGTCTTTGCTCTTACTCCTTAATGATGTGTGCCTAGTGGAGAAGCAGCATATACCAATTTTAAAGTCTTTGGTTTGACCCGGCCGGGGTCAGGCCAATAGAATCTAACTAAATATTTTGTAAAATTTAGTTTCGGGCCTGTATTTCTGATTTATATTTTATGAGAAATCGCCGTTTAAAGACAGATTTACTATACATTTCTGCACGAAAAAGTCATATGACTTCTGGTAATTGGGGATTTGAATGCTCGAATTGCAAATCATCATGATTTTATACCAGACTCAAGCTAGCGACCAATTCTAGCGACCACTAAAGAACACAATGAGAATCAACTTGTCTAAGAATCATTATGTGGTATATGAGAAAACCACAAAACCACATTATGAAACAACGTTCTGTTAAAAGGAAAATCTATCTACCAGTACGGTATATACTGTTTTTTAACGTTTAAATTACCAGAGATGTCCATCATATTAAGGGAGAAGGGACACTACAATACAAATGACGTCTGTAGCTGAATGCACTAACTAGTTTGGTTGCTATATGTGTGCATCAATATCAATGAGTAAAATACAACGTGCCAGAAAATCGTAAAAGTCAAAACAATTTAATACATCAGAAAAACAAAGGATATGGGGTATCCCTCCATGACACAAAATCAGTAAATTCACAGCGAAAAACACACAAAAAGCAAAGGAACATTCTTTGTTAACGAACTATTTTTATTCCCCAACATTCGAACACATACTATATGTTATCGTATATGTATTTAGCTAAATAAAGGTGCGCCCCTCTCCGGAGTTTATTCTATCGGGAGAGGGACTAGTTGGGGAATAAGGTAATCCATATTTTGACGTCTTCTTTACGTTTTCTCTGTTTTCCAAACTCTAAACCGAGATCGCAAAGATAAATCAAATATTGTAAAACAAAATATTAAAAACGGAGCATAAATCCCCAAAGCACATAATGGCTATACAATAGTACTTTGCGGTTCAGAAATGAGAATAAAAAGCTAAAGAGTTGAATTTGAATAATTAAAAAAACAAGAGTGTTTGTTTATGATGATTTGCTCGCACAATCATTTTCAATATTCAGTTAACCGTAAATAAGCTAACTTGTGTACCTAGTTTCAAGTTGATCTGACTACAACGTCATCTTAGACTAGATTCAACACTAACGTCATTCTAATGCAGTATGAATGGACGTACAAACGGACCAACGGACAAACAAAAAGAACGAACGAACGAACGAACACAAAAACCAGATAATATTATGAGTTTTACTGTCGTAGGCGGGGCATAGAATATCTATTTAATGTGAGTTGACTTAAACTTGTTCCTTTGTACAATGTATCAGCTTTCAAAACAAAAAAAACGAAATAAGAAAAATATTATGTGCGAAAGATTATCTATATACTGGCTTTCCATACACTCGGCATCCTCAAATATCCTTTATTTTCTAGAAAAGGAACTTTTAATGTCTATTCCCTATACTGAAAAGGAAAACATACAGAAGAACAAACTGTAGGAGTACATTTCATGACCACAAACAATATTTTCAATTGAAAGTATACATGCACTATTTTGTACGGCATGCATCCTTACTTAAAAAAAATGTAAAGATTTTTTTGTTTAAAAAAAACCGTACACTTTGAATGTCAACTTTAACCCCTTCAATTCCAAGAAGGTTCTAACCCCTACAAAATCATTTCAGTGGGTCCTGCTTTAATGCATTACCTTTCATTTGAGCCATGTCCGGTGTCGAAATTTGTCGTACGGAGCTGGCGAGACTTGCCAAAAGAATGTACGGTGGACACGTAAAAAAAAATAATACCAAGTTTGAACCCCTTCAATTCCCAGAAGGTTCTAATTCCCAAAATATCATTCCAGTGGGTCCTGCTCTGATGCATTACCTTTCATTTGAGCCATGTCCGGTGTCAAACTTTGCCGTACGGAGCTGGCGAGACTTGCAGAAAGAATGTACGGTGAACACGTAAAAAAAAAAAAAATACCAAGTTTGAACCCCTTCAATTCCCAGAAGGTTCTGATTCCCAAAAAAACAATACAGTGGTCCTGCTTTGATGCATTACCATTCATTTGAGCCATGTCTTGTGTCGAACTTTGCCGTACGGAGCTAACGAGACTTGCCGAAAGAATGTACGATGGACACGTAAAAAAAAAATAATACCAAGTTTGAACCCCTTCAATTCCCAGAAAGTTCTAACCCCCAAAAAATCATTTCAGTGGGTCCTGCTCTGATGCATTACCTTTCCTTTGAGCCATGTCCAGTGTCGAATTTTGCAGTACGGAGCTGGCGAAACTTGCCGAAATAATGTACGGTGGACACGTAAAAAAAAAAAATACCAAGTTTGAACCCTTTCAATTCCCAGAAGGTTCTGACCCCCAAAAAACCAATACAGTGGTCCTGCTTTGATGCATTACCTTTCATTTGAGCCATGTCCTATGTCGAACTTTGCCGTACGGAGCTGGCGAGACTTGCCGAAAGAATGTACGGTGGACACGTAAAAAAAAACAAAAAAATACCAAGTTTAAACCCCTTCAATTCCAAGAAGGTTCTAATCCCCAAAAAATCATTTCAGTGGGTCCTGCTTTGATGCATTACCTTTCATTTGAGCCATGTCCTATGTCGAACTTTGCCTTACGGAGCTGGCGAGACTTGCAGAAAGAATGTACGGTGGACACGTAAAAAAAAAATAATACCAAGTTTGAACCCCTTCAATTCCCAGAAGGTTCTGATTCCCAAAAAACAATACAGTGGTCCTGCTTTGATGCATTACCATTCATTTGAGCCATGTCTTGTGTCGAGCTTTGCCGTACGGAGCTAACAAGACTTGCCGAAAGAATTTACGGTGGACACGTAAAAAAAAAAAAATACCAAGTTTGAACCCTTTCAATTCCCAGAAGGTTCTAACCCCCAAAAAATCATTTCAGTGGGTCCTGCTCTGATGCATTACCTTTCCTTTGAGCCATGTCCAGTGTCGAATTTTGCAGTACGGAGCTGGCGAGTCTTGCCGAAATAATGTACGGTGGAAACGTAAAAAAATATAATACCAAGTTTGAACCCCTTCAATTCCCAGAAGGTTCTGACCCCCAAAAAAACAATACAGTGGTCTTGCTTTGATGGATTACCTTTCATTTGAGCCATGTCCGGTGTTAAACTTTGCCGTACGGAGCTGGCGAGACTTGCCGAAAGAATGTACGGTGGACACGTAAAAAAAAATAATACCA